AGCTTTTCCGGAGGTTATATGGAGGTAGTTTTCTACCACTGGACATCCTTCTTCTTGACCAACAACCAATTAGCAGAATGATATCTTGCTTGCAGGTTTCATAAAGATATTAACCAGACAGATGCTGATGATTATTAGTTATAAACTTTGTACAAAATTACTGAAGTAATTTGAAAACAACAGAATACCAAAATTATAACACACACGCATAAGGAAAGAGAAGTTCAGGAAGGCCAATTGTAGAGATGGCATGAAATCATAACATGCCATGTGGCCTAATATCTCAAACATAGTGATGATATTTAAATTACTTGAAGAAATCAACTGTGGATTTCAATAACAGTTTCTCTCAAATGAAAGTACCTAATATAAAAGATGCTCTTGTAATAATTCTGGAGTTTTTTCTTTCAGTCTAGAGATTTGATAGTTACAATTACAAAATGCTGCATACAAGGATTGGTTATTAATGGTCTGAGAGCATTATCCATTTAAAAGATACTTGCATTGCTGGCTGAATAAAAGAAGTCATTTACATTGCCATGTAACAGAACAAAATAATTCATTATGTGACAGATTCAGTATTACTAATAAATATTTCATGGAAATATTTTTTCAAGAAATTTTGTATGTGTACATATCTATTTGAATAGCATCTCATGTATGTTTATTTATTTTCTAGTTACATACTTGAAATGTCTTTGCTTTTCTTTATAACAAAATTAATTCTACTAATTTTCTTAAGAACAATATAATCATTTCTTTTTTACAGGGGCTGCTTCATTACCATGTGACTGACCCCAACACACCTTGGAAATATCTCTTCATGGCCTTGGAGAGGGTCAAACAGAACTTTGACTTTGTGGAAGATTACACTGTCAGTGAGACAACACTGGAACAAGTGTTTCTTTCCTTTGCAAAGGCACAATCTGTGAATTTGTGACCACGATATTCAACTAAATATCTCGTGTATTATTAAAGGACTATCATCATAATCTTTCCAGTTCTTTCAGCAGTAAGCATGGAAAATTTGATATCTTCAATTCCACAGTATCTATCCTGTACATATTTTATTTCCTTACAATGTTTTATTTTACAAAGAAAGATGTCCTTACTGTACCATGTCCGTATTTCCACACGTTTGTCTGACATCCCCTTCGTATTGAACATTTTCATGAAACTCAGAATGACTGTCATGCTTTGGAGGTCATTGTATTTGTGGGATTTTACCTGCTTAAGCAGAAGGATATGCAAGCCCAGCAAGGGAGGGGCAGACAGCGGTGTGTTTGACAGTGATGTGAGGACTGAAGAGTATTGGTGGCTGATGCTAGAGTTGGGACCAACACTCTGCTTGGTCACTCTGTGGAATCTAGGAAGAAGTTGTTATTGGTTGGAGGTTGAACCATTGTCAGCTTGGCTACAGAGCTGTGACCAAGGAAGATGGTATCATTGGCTGGAGGCCATATCAGTATCACCTCAGCAATTTGCAAGGATGAAGGAAGCTGTTGTTGGTTCGAGGCTTGGCCATAAAATTCAAGAAGACATCTAGAGCAATGATTCTAAGGTGTGTAAGGTTGGAGCTGGATCCAGGGAGCAATCAGTGTATAGGACCATTTTCAGCGGGGACCTCTGGTCTATACGCGAAACCTGCTATTGTAAAGTATTGGTTGTATCCAGATATTATTAGAATGAGCAAATCGAGGAGAGTAATGTGGGTGGGGCATGTAGCACACGGGGGAAATGAGAAATATGTGCAACATTTTGGTTGAGAAGTCTCAAGAGATAAACTGTTTGAAGGACCAAGGCACTTAAAATGGTTCACAGGGTTCGATGGTGTGGACTGGAGAGCTGGATCAGAATAGGGACTGATGGCAGACTCTTCTGAACAAGGTAATGAATCTTTTGGTTCCATAAATTCACCACCTTGTCAAGAAGCTAGTATGCATGATATGTTTCCATTCAATAGTATTTAGTTGGTCATCTGTAGATGGGTAATGCGGATTATCAGCATCAAAGTAAACTTGTATTCAGCATTAATATGTCATGGTTGTTAACAGTAGTCATCAAAGTTAAATGTCATTGGATATTTTAACACAGTGGAAGTAGCTACTAGCATCATTGTTTGCCTTGGCTCGTAGTCCGCAATGGCTTTTAATTTATGCTGGTCCACAATTGTTGGTTGGCTGTATGTGTAACACTTCTGAAAAAATTACTATTGACTTTTCCTTTTCATAAATTACCGAGCTCAAACCTCAGAATCTTTGATTCAGTGCTTTGTTTCATATTCCCTAGAGCAGTGGTATTCAACCTTTTTTGTTCGCATACCCCCAGATATAATTTCTCTTCAACTTTGTACAGCCAGAGTTGTTGGTGTATAATTCAAGTTATACATATTATATAATTACATCTAAAATAAATTACATTACTGATTATTCAGTGTTTATCATAAAATAATATTTTTTTTAAATTTCACATACCCCCTAAGATTCTTCGCATACTCCAGGTTGAATACCACTGCCCTAGAGCATAACTTTTATTGCAAATGTTAAGTGCTGTTGATTATGACATCCTGTCCATCATAAACGTGTTTAGACGTGATAGCAAAAATTTAATTTACAGATTCGTTTGTTCTGTAAAATGTAACTCTTTTTTCGAAATTACAACCTGCACAGACTCTACAGTCTGGAACAGTCCTAGTGAATAATTGTTCAAATGCTTTCCATTTGTGTAGAGTTCAAAGCATTAACAATTCTAAAACTCGATCAAAATTTACGTTAGCAGAGATTTTTACTGTGATTTGCGTCATCGTATGTTTCTATTATTTATTCTTGTGAAGGTGTTTCGTACTTATTATGTAGGCATATTTATCATCCGTCGTTATATCGATACCTAGCGTTAATCGTTTATCGGTCACTGCTGAGCAAAGTAAACAGAGTTCTTACAGTTCTCCGTGATTACTTTCACATTTTACAGCTTACGAAAATAATATAAATCAAAAGTTAAATATTTTTTGATATGCATCACCACACAGCTAAAATGGATCTTAAAATAATAAGGTGGAACTGGATTCATCTGGCACAGGATAGTGACCAGCTTTTGTGACTAATTAATTGGGGTATCTGTCTTCAAATAGTATTTTTTTAGTGCAATTAAGTAAGGTACATTCCAACGCACCTTGTCTATATTCAACCCTAACAAGACAAACCAATTTAAGTTGGGAAACCCTGCATTGGATCACCAAGACATGTCGAGTTCTGTCGGAATAGTATTGTGTTACTTTCCATTGAATGTTAGTAGTCTCCCTGATAATTTATGACGTTGAAACCGGTAATATTGAAGTGATTCTGTTTATAGATCTTGGTTAATTTCTGTTTACACAGAATTTAAGCGATCAAAAGTAACGGTTCTCTCGTGTTTAAAATCAGCCGTAATTACTGCCGTACCGATTTCCAGCAGTGCATTAGCTGCAACAAGGGAATACGCGTACAAGAATTCAGTATTGCCATTGGTTTCGTCGTTTTGTGTGTGAAGATGTTCACGTGTAATAGGTTTGCATTTAAAATGGAACATACTGTGTAATGTTTCCAGTTTGTGAATGCTCCTTCCCAAACAGGATGTTAGGTTAGGTTAGCTCAGATCAGCACCTCGCAGGAAGGTTGAAGGAGGGCTGAACAGCCTCCTACCTCTTACGAATTTATTTCGGAAATGCGAACCCAGAAGAATTATTGAATAATTTTTTAACTAAACCCAAGTCTGGAATTTATTTCGCCTGGACAATTATAAACATATAGCCCATTTCTGATACTAATATTAATTAATAGACTGCAACCATAATTACACACCAACACATATGTGACAGTTAATAAAAAGACGCCAGAAATGGATCGACAAATTCAAAGAAAGACAACCGACCAATATGCTGCATTAAATAATATGTTACGTCTTTAGAAACGTAACTGCATTAACATTAGAGCAAATGTATGATATAAAGTTATGACATTTTAAATTAAATTCCTCCAATTTTCAAACCTCTTCTGCCCTGAAAGTGGCACTCCCCTGACGTATCTCGTGATCTGATGTTTTATACAGCTTTCCGTATCTGTCAGACACTCGTGACATTTTTATGACTATTCACAAAGGTCCCGTCCTTGAAAAAGACACTAGTGTAGATTCAAAAGGCATTCATTGGCAGATTGCCTGTGGGGAATAAAAAGATGTGGGTGCAATGGGATAAAATATTTTTATATTATTATAGGAAGAGAATGTCAAACTGCTACTCTGAATGGTAATCTTTTGATTTGCTTCGGAAATAAAATGCATCCTGCGAAGTCAGCTAAAGATGGATTGACCTTTGCTTTATGAACGAAGTACAAACACGTGCTTACACATACTGCCATATCTACCACCCGTGTTGATCGGTATTGTTATGTGGCTGATAAGCTCCATAGTTTTAGGCTATGGTCACAAGCATATCCTTATTTCAAATAATTTTAAATGATAAAGAAGACAAACTCAGCAGCGCCATGTAAGCATCTTTCGTAATGACAGCAAATATTTAGTTATTGAGTTACATACTACTTTTCTCCAAACAGAATAAAATTTTATGGAACAGAAAAATTCATTTTGGAGAATGCTTGCTACCATGACATTAAAAAAAAAATTGTCTCCCCATCTCATGTCTAAAGATGAAAAAATTAACATTTTCAAAACTGTAGTTTTAAATTTTGTTTTTGTGCAGTTGTGAACTTGTTCTCACCTTCAAGGAAGAACACAGAAGTTAGGAGGGAGGAAGTAACAGGACAGTGAAAACTGCCAGTGAGGAGCTTCATAAATAGTACTCAGCGACAAACAATGTTAGGGTGACCAAATCAAGATTTAATTGGACGCGGCATGGGTTACATAAGAAATACATACAAAGTTTTAGTTGTAAAACCTGAAGGGAAGGATTTTAGGATCGTACAGCATTGAGAACGAAGAAGGGAAGATACCATTTTTGAGAGTCAGGCATAGAAAGGAATATAATATTGAAATGGATTGTGACGGTGAGGACAAAATTTATCTGACTTAGGATAGGGTCCAGTGGTGGGTTCTCCTGAACACGGTAATGAAGCTTGGGTTCCATAAAATTGGGGAGCGACTACTAGCTTCTGAAGAAGGAATCTGCTCAATGGAGTTAGGGGCATAATAAAGAAGCTGGATAGTGGGTGTCTGACGTCATTTAGCATGTCTGCATATTTAGTTACTGCCATCAATATGATAGACCGTTCTCTCTGTTTTATCCTAAGAACCAGATTTAAATTTTGTAATGTATACAAATTTACCTTGCGTATTGGGGATAACTACAAACATGCTAGTCATATTTAATTTTCGGTTGAATGAAGTATGTGTGATAAATCAATAGTTACGTTCAATCAGTTACTTTAGGATTTTATTGTATGGTCAAATTTGAGTTCGAGTAGAACGAAACTTTTCTTGTTTAAATTAAAATATAATTAATATCACATAGCCTGTTCAGAAGTGCGATTTATGCGCCTGGATATTTTAAAATGTCTAGCAGATTGTTTCTTTCAGTTCTCTGTTATATGGTAGTATGGTTCTTGGTTTTGGTTCAGGAGTAAGTTGCTTAGGTTGTTTTATGTTTTCAGCATTCATTTTCTCTCCGTTCTGTAAACCAACGTTTTCGGTAGAACAGTTCTTTCCATTTCGCAGTGTGCAGGTCTTTTCTGCAGGCAAGTTTGAAATCTCGGCATCCTGGACACCGTTTTCCAGTTGCTTTCTCTGTTCCGTTATCGCATTTCTTAAACTATGTTTCACATCATGAATGTGCCAATCCTGCTGGCGACTCAGTTTTCCATCTTCTGTCTGGTTTGGATTTTCTTGCATTTCGTTTTCGGATGTCCGTTGCAGCTTTTGAGTACCAGATTTGCTTTTGTAACTGGGGTAATCGTCAAGTTCTATATGTTTTACTGCCTCATTTTCTTTTGTTGTAGTCTCGTCGTCCTTTGTGACAACTTCTTTCCCGTCACCGCTTTCATCTAGTCCGTTCACATGGTCATGTTCCAGTTCTTGTGTCCCTTTATAAGTATTCTTTGGTACAATTTCTTTTACTCCATTCTCTGGCTTCTGCTCTAGTAATCTTTTTTGGGAGCAAAGAATTTGTATTCCGGCTGGTTCTGGTATCTTTATCTGAGGCTCGTATAATTCTGTGTTTCTGGGGCCATATTCTGGTTTCGGGGCCATCACCTCGAGGTCTGAGGTGGCAGCCGCGGTTCGTTCTTGTGGCGGAGGGTCTTCAGCGCTGCTTGATGTGACAGATGATGTCATTGACGCATCCGACTCCTATTGGGGGAAGAAATCTGTATAAGTAAAGTTTATATGGGCCTCATTTTTCGGACTTGTTAACGTGAAATTTCTCGAAATGTGTTGCAGTTTATTACATACACAATCCTGTAAAATGATACAAATTTACGAGTTCGTCTGTTTACGTAAATCTGGCCACTTTTCATGGATGATCAAGTTTCTTTATTGTTCACGAAGCAAATCGATGTCTGAATTCTGTTTTGTCTAAATGATGTTCCTGAAATTCGAGATTCGGAACACGAATTTATACAGTAGCCTTTGAAAGCGTAGGCTTACTGATTGAGTTGGTTTCATGGTTGAATGTTTTTTACAGAATCTAACGAAATGTCCTTTAAGAGATCGAACCTCAACTGGGGTCCGAGGCTCTGATAAGCGCTAGCTGGCTGAGCTCGTAGCATACATCATAAAACGGTGCCTAGCAGGGGCTTATGAAACTTTCTTGAACTAATTCTAGAAGATTCACGTTGTTTCTGTCAGAGTACGAAACGAGAGTCGATAGAATAACGCCAAACCCACTTCCTGCAGAAGCAACAGCGGAGAAGTTATTATCACCGTCTACGTATTGGGCTTTTCTGTATGACTCACGGGAAACTAATTTTAGAGACTACACCACCCCTTTGCAGATTAATCAACGACTCTACGACATTTTGCCACACCCTATCGATTTCCTAGTTATGACGTAACATATAGTCTCTTTGCCCCCACAAGATACATCTGCGTATCTGCGCCATTCTGCAGATGATACCAGGATCCTGCCTTTGCTTTTAAGATCAAGAGATCTTTCACAGTTTCCGTCTAGGCGTTAGCTTGAAGGCGGTCATTTCTTGGACCGGTCTCGGTTCGAAACCTAATAGGGGAATGCCTGCGTGTCTTTTGATCCTCATCAGATGATTCCCACCGTTTGTTCGCATAAAGATAAAAACAACATGTGATACAGAGGATGCTAAGGCTGGAATTGAGCTGCAACTTCAAGATCTTTCAAAACCCGTAATATTATGAAAAAAATTAGTCTGTTTTTTTATTTTATGTACTTCAGATAATAAAGTGTTCATTAAAAATTAAATTTGATATATCCCTTCCTTTACTTCCATAATAATATTAAACCCTTTGAAGCCTATATGTAACACTACAGCGTTAACCAATTTTGTAATGGAGACGGATTGTTTTCTTGTGAGGCAGGAACTGGGTATTTGAACATTAATAAAAACAATTTCGGCTTCTAGGGGTTAAAATAGCCATTATCCACACGTGCTTTTAGTCGTTCTGCATATCAAGTACCGCGTATCATTGTTTTTTCAGCAAACCTCAAGTCAAAATAAACTTCCTACTCGTTTGGCGTGTAACACTTGCATCCCGCAGCCTACATTCTTTCACTGATGAAGACGCGACTCTGGTCTCATCAGACTTGTTTTCTGCACTTGTGGTGTTGTATTAGCACAAGACCAGAGGAATGTTGTTTGTCTCTCAATTATGAGGCAGCAGTAGGCATACTTGATTCACTTACGTTAGAGTTGACTTGGCGGTCGCTGGTGGATTTACCAGGGAAAGGTATTGGTGGTGCTGGGGCTCTTCGTTTCTTTTTGGGTTTTGCACCCTGCTGGGTGTACTTGGTCTCATCTTCAGAAGGCTGTTCATAAGCTAGAACAACCAAACATTGAAACTCTGACATCTGTTTTCTTAACATGTTCTGATTTGTGTTGTCTTACCAAGAGAAAACAAAATTAATGCGAACGTATTGTAGTCCATCAGACGACATAAAATGAAAGTCACACACTGATTGAACTTTAGGTTAACAAAGCTGTTTAAATTAAAAATTTAGAATTAAATAAAATTCTGATCAAGAATGACGAGTAGGTAAGGGATGGGGATATGTGGTACTACTACACCAATATTCGCTGAAGATATTGAAGAAATTCACGTAAACAGCCTAACAAATACAAGTTTACAGACTTTCCACAACACCAAAATCTTAGTTAAAAAGACATATATTAATTCCAAGGTACAGGTTTACCAGAGATTACTTACCAGAACCGTCCTTAAAGTTTTACATGAACACAAAGTAGATTTAAAAAGTGTAACATAACACGAAAAACGTTCTGATTTATAACAAATAAATTATACAAACTGAAACACAAGAGAAAGGATTAATAGGGCTAGTAACAGCCTATATTTAAAAAAAAATATGATAGGGCGAAAGGAATTACAAATGAAATGAAATGTATTACACGCTCATGTTTCCGGTTTTGGACTGTAGGCCTAGTATTGCAGATTTTAACAGATTTTAAATTGCTTATATTCTTGTGAATTATCATGTATAGGTTGTCAGAATTAAATACAACTGTCGCTTCAAGCCTCCATTTTGTCAGAGTGTCTATGTTTATTTGTTTATATATTAATTTATTATAAGATTAAAACGGTCATTTTGGGAGGAATTATCTTTTCACAAATATTTTATTAAGTTACTTGATTACAAGTCGTATCATAAGGACCCAACATTTATCTATTGTAAATACTCGCAACTTTTCCGATGTTAATTTTATCAAGAACTACCTCATCTTGAAACGGGGACACTGAAGTGTTAAAAAAAATTAAATTCATTGCATCTACGGCTCTCAGAAAGACTTTCGATCTTCGCCTCTAAACTCAAGGTTCAGAATGTGACTAACTAATGGTGACTCGTTAAAATGATTGTTAAAGTGTCGATTACGTCTAAGATGCTGCGAAAGCTGGCGATGTCTGTGATGATGAAACAAAATATGTTACATGAATTTGAAGAAATTTGATGCTTGTCTGTGAAACATTGCTTTCTCTTAAGGAGTAAGGATAAATTAAATAATACTACCACAATACATACATTTTCGTTAATTATGGTTAGGCAAAAGATGCGATGATAATTCAAATAAATCTATTCCTACTAACTAGGGTTAGAAGAAACACGCTAGAAAGTAAATTTAATAGATCAACTAATAGTATTGCGTTTCCTGTAATGATCATAAATAATTTCTGTTTTAGCCAGATACATTTTCATTTATCATGAAAATCGATTTAAAATGATGTTATAGTTTTTTCCAGAATTTCTGTTTTTAAAATGTCACTTCAAGAAGACCAACAAGAGAGAAAAATTATCTGAGAAGACAGCCATTGCCAATACTACGTCGGATTTCTTTGATGAAGTATGTAAGTTACTGTAGCAGACTGCTAAAACCTATCAATGGTAGCAAGTTGAATGAAAGTTATTTATTGTTCAAAAAGCGAAACAGTGATTCATATATTCTTCGTGTTTTAATATAAATAGAGCAGGAGAATGGAAATTCTGATAAACACTGCTCCATTCAGTGCCTTCAAAATTGTAATTACCGTTACCAAGCTAATGAAAAATGAATGGGGGCTCCGGGAGAAACGCATTTAATTCTATTCCCTGCGGTAACTTCCATGTGAAATATGTGAAACGTTAACATTTAAGAGACATGCACCTAACGTCAACAGTCATGCCTAATTGGAATGCATATGTGCTTCTCGTTATATAATTGGCCTGGTGATGGCCTCGAACGGAGCATATGTACACTCTGTGGAAAAAGATAACTTACACTGAACGTAGAGAGTGGAGACTTTCCGGCTGTTTTTAGTGCGTCTAGAGTACTCGTTTGAACTCCGGACTTCGGTTTATGTTACAGGGATCCGGACGACTGTTGCTGCCTATTTGTACAGATGACTCTACAGAAGCTGTAAACAAACCCCACGAGCCCATTGCTCCGGCTGATCGCACTGTTTGGGCTTGGGTTCGTGAAATCATCCACATTTACGGAGACACACGAGACACAAGACCGATTAGTCTGAAAGCTCCTTTAGACCGAGCGTTGGAGTTCAGAATCTAATAAATCGCGTCCAGAATTTTGATTTACATGTTGGCAGTGAGATCTGTCGTATCTTTTTTACATTCATATGAAACAGTATCAAATATCTTAAAACGGCACCCAATGACAAAATGACGAAGAAATTAATATTGTCACTTTAGACCAAAAGCTGGCGTGTTCCATTCAAATCCAGTGTTTGTTTGTTTGTTGATCCTCTTTAATGTTATATTCAAAGAAGATTTGAATCCAAAAAGATAATTGATAATTATTGAAGTTTCGGGGAGCCGCAGAAGTTTATGGACAACACTTTTTTTACAGTCCATGCATTGCTTGCCGAGTAATTTAATTCTTTGCGAATTTTAGGGCAATATTTAACGCATGCCGAATTTACTTTATTCGAATTTAAAAACTTTCGGGACCTGCACTGGACACGAACATGAATTGTGACTGAGTCAAATTACTAGCGATTGTAACTCACATGATACTCCTATGATTATGATTCGTGCATATATTTCCGGCACATTCACGCGTTCCTCATGTGACGTCACACCATTGTGAACAGGAGCTTCGATCAATGTCACTAGGGCAAATACACACAATAGAAAATACGACACGCTGAATATTTCTGTGTCGCAGATAGCTGACTACGTGGACTCAAATGCTAAGTGAAGGTTAAACTAAACTATCAGCAGCTTTCAATTTTGTCAAGTAGTTTCCGGTCACTGCTAAATAGAGGAGAATTTTAGACCCTACATGTCTTCGTGTCCTGTTCGGCGTTGTCTATCGTCTAAGTATTTATAAACAACAACGTTTCGGAAGATGGATGTATTTCTATCTTCAGGTGGTTTAAAACACTCAGATGATGGATCACAACCTGTCGCACTGTGGTGTGATACAGTGCTTATAGGCCTACAGTTAGAAAGAGGAATCAAGGGTAGATAGGTATCATTATCTGGAGTAATTTCAATATCTGCAGCGGAATATTTAGTGCTAATTAAATGTGAATATGTTATATACAGCGAAATGCAACGGAACAGAACTTAACCCAACTTAACCTAACCTGACCAAACCTAAGTAGTCTGAGCTATTTTAAGGTAGTACCTTGACATTTCCTGTAGGACCTGAAGAAGAAATACGATAAACCCAGTCAGTTTAGTCGTTGTTCTGACCGTAATTTAAACGAGGGATCTCCCGAGCATAGCAGCTAAGGCAACTAGCTCGATAGAAGATAAAAGAGAATATTTATTTATAGAACTAGAGCCCGATGTTCGTAGCCCGTCTCAGAGCAGAGTAGTCACTGAACTACAGTATAGCAAGTTTTATGATTTAATTCGCATTTAAAGATGTCTCTCTTGTGGGTTATTGGGCCATGTAGTCTGGTTTACCGACGTTTCAGAGGTACTTGCTCCTTCCATCACCGATCTCCCTGATCGCAACAACCCAGAAGACGTACATCTTTAGTTACGTACACAATTTGGACGAGGTGTGTGGGCCAGTCAGGGAAGATGAAAATGTAAGTCCGTGAATAAGTACAGTGCTCATACCTGTTTTCTCTGAGGGCGATACTGGGAAGAAAGCTTTGCGAATCGCAGGTACAGGTGTCATTTGTCTGCTTCCTGTGTCTATGTTGTTAGGTGAATTTTCTGTGCTAGGTGTCACCATCGGGGTTATTGACGGTGGTGACAAAGGCCTGTTAAGTGAAAGCATAGTGCGTGCATTTGGAGGCACTGGTCTGCCGGGCGGTGAGGTCGCCCTACTAGGTGCAAATGTGTGACGTGAATAGTTAGGTGCAGGCGAGGATCGTGAGCAATTAGAATCTGATGTTGATCGTGAGCTAGGTGGAAGAGAGGATCGTGAATTGGTGGATCGAAGCAACAACTGTGACAGAGGCTGTGCTGGTCTACTTGGAGGTGATGTTCGGCGGAAACTTGCTTTTCTAAGTAGCTTTGGTGTCCATGTCATGAAGCGACTAGCTGCACTTGAACTTGCTGGGTTAATGGCTTCAGAAGCCCTTGATTTACCTTTGTCTGGTGAAAATAAGTTCCTGTGGAAAGAAAAGAGAGAACGTTTGTAATTTTACTTTTGTTTGTATCCAGTATAATTTAATTAGACTCTTATTAATAAACCTGTGGAGAAGGTAATTTATAAAGGAAGTTTGGTGAGGGTCGACCATGTGGTGAACATTATGATTTATTTTGATATAGGTTCAAAAAAACCCGAACAATCGTTGGGAAAATACAAAATATACTTTTTTCTGTCCCACTACACGCCTATTGGCGCTTGGGGGGAGCGGAGGTATAGCTCCTACTCTTTCTTGACCTCGACACTAGATGGGGGTGAGTGGTCAGCATCACGCCCAGGCCGTGCTTTACCCCTGGGAAAGGATCCCTGTAGCCATTGGACAGGAGGCTGGATGGGCCCCAGAGCCGGTCTGGACGCAGAGGCTAGAGGAAAAAAATCCTCTGCCCCTGTCGGGGATCGAACCCCTATCGCCCAGCCCGTAGCTAGTCACTATACTGACTGAGCTATCCCGGCTCCACCACTTTATGGGGTATGTACTTCCATGTACCCGAGACAGACCTTGTCCCTAAGGTACATAGTGCAGCAGCTATTTCCGGGATAGATATTGTTTTTGACACGTGCTACATGTATTATATAATTTTATTGTTAGAGATTACTATATATTTTACGACAGTTATTATTATTATTTTGAAAGCCAATTCTTAATAAGAAATACGTTATTAGCAGTAATTTAAATGAGTGTCCATCATTCTGGAAAAAGTCTGATACAAAATTCAGGATATTAGTAAAGTCAGTCCAAGCTATCACTGCTCTAATCTAATCACGTAATGAGTAACTTGTTACAAATTTGAAGGCCACTTTAACGTCAACCTTTCACTCCATCTTATTGAAATCAAACAGTGGCGATATCAGTGAATTACTAGTGGCACTGCGCGTGTGTTTAAGCCTCTTTTAAGTCAACTTTCCCATGTTCCTTCTGTAATACTGTACAGCTTGCATTTTGTTTTGGTACAAATAAAGTAATAGGTCTATATGATGTATTTGATGTTTTCTGCTCATCGTGTGCCACAGACATCGGGCATGCCATAAAATTGGGGGGGTGAAATTGCGGGGATGCAGTACTGCACTGAATTACACATATGTGGACAAAATTCTGAATGGCAGTGCACAATTCTCCTTCACCCTTCTCCCTTCTGACGTCTGTACCAAGGTGTACTCGATCCTCATACACAGTGACACACTATCCAAAAAATAACCTGCTATATTGTCTAATTCCTGTCCATGTAGTTACAATTATTTAATTTTACTTACACAGTGCTAGTGGCTTCTACGTATCTGTCATCTTTAAGTTTATTCGGTTTATCGATATATTTATATCTTATCTTCTCTTTAAGATCTATAAACCTACAAAACATGTAAGACCTCAAAACACTGTTAATGATTCTGTAGGGAACGATGTTTTTCTAGAGATGGGAGCTGGGGAAGTTAAAAAAAAGACGAATATTTTACAAAGTAATTTTTAAAGTAATACTGCCACGAAGACCGACTGCCAAGTAACTTGATGTAAGTTAAGACCGCAAACTTCAACACCTTTCCCAACTTATCCCATTTTTCATTCGACGTTGGACAACCTGTTTCATACTGAGCAGGTTAATGTGTAGGTAAAGCTCTGAACTCGGGATGTGCTCGTCCTTTATCTCGGCTAGGTTACACGCTGTCATGCCATATTCTTTATGGTCTACGCCAAACTCTCCTTGTGAATACCAGGTAGTACCTTAAAATAGGTCACGACCAGCTATTGTAAAACCACTGCCCATCTTAGGATGGCTGTCGTCTGGGCTGTAGCGCCATATAGTCTAGCATAAGTTTATCAACGTTTCAGAAGTCCTTGCTGCCTCCATCTGCCAT